GGAACTCCCGGTGCTTGCAGCGGTGGTCCCGTCAGCGGTTGAGCAGGCATCGGCGGCGCGGGAAGTCCCGGTGCAGGAGCAACTTGTTGCTGCGCGGCGTGTGCGTCAAGGAAATTAGCCATTCGAACGTCCATCATTCCCGGCAGACCTTCCATCACATCCTGGAATGCCCGCATTAAGTCTCTCACCGAGTCTTCCAGTTCTGCTAGTCGTTCCCCGGTAGTTTCCTCCGGGATGGGGTCCCGAGGTCGATAGTCCGGGGGTGGGTCATAGTCCTCTTCCGTTTGGAAGGCTCCGGTGCCCTCCTCATCTTCTGCGTGGCCTCGCGGCCCCGATGGCTCGAACATCCACTCCTCGAGGTCTTGCTTGGAACTCCCCTTCTCCGAGGTAGTCCCCGGCTCCGGGAACAATCCCTTGTCAAACAGACTCTCACGTAATCCGCTCCCCCGACGGGAGTACACCTCTCGGGTGCCCTGAGTGTTGTACATAGTCCAGTCATCCTGCTGTTGAGTCTTCCGCGGACCCCAGTGCGAAGGGGTCGGAGGCGGCCAAGACAGATGTTCAGGCAGGCGGGGAATCGCTCCCCCCACGGCACCCTCCATCGAGGCTGCAGTCGTGAACACCAAAGGAACGGGGGTATGTGGGACCGATCCTGAGTCCCCCTCCGTGTTAAGTAGGTTTCCCTCAGTTCCGCTCATGATCTTGCCAGATTCGGAACGATAGGAGAAAGAGAGTTCTAACAATATGTTGGATCCCCAAGCATCGAGAATAAATCCACGTTTTCAAGAAAAGCAAAATTTATTTCAAAGCGTTGAAGACATACTCAAACACGTTCTTTGTTAGAACTGGGGATACACAGTTAGGTCAAGCATAATAAAGGAAATTCAAACAGATACAGATCCAATGAATAGCATTCCCGCTGGCGGGCTAATGAAACGGTTGCGCGCCCAGTCCATGGGAACCAGGCAGAACATCAGACAAAACACAGGTGCAGTACTCATGAGAAAAGCAATAGGCAAGCATTACAGCATCTTCTCCCCCACACAACCTCCAGCAGTTATCTTGTGCATTCCAACGCAGGAGCAGGATGATAGAAAACAAGCCGGGTGCAACAGGGAAAGGATATGTACACAGAGGTCACAGAAAACAGAATGGCAGCTTGCTGACAAATATGTAGCTTGACCAGCATGATGTACTGGCTAGACTAGCATAAGGGAGAACTAGGTTTAGATCTCTACTCTGCCATGGAAGCTCTCTGGGTAACTTTGGGCCAGCCATACTCTCTCAGTTTAGGCTGCCTCACAGGGTTGTTGTGAGGATAAAAGGAAGCAGAGGAGAACGATGTAAGCCACTTTGGGTCCCCATTGAGGAGAAAGGTGGGGTATAAATGAAGTAAGTAAATAAGTTAACACTTCACATTCTATGTAAATAAAGATAATAATACGGTAGTAGAGGTAAAGGTTTCCCTTGCTTGAAAGCCAGTCGAATCTGACTCTAGGGGGCGGTGCTCATCTCTGTTTCCAAGCCAAAGAGCCAGTGTTGTCCGAAGAATTCTCTGTGGCCATGTGGCCGGCATGACTAAATACTAAGGGCGCACGGAACGCTGTTACCTTCCCACCGAAGCGGTACCTATTTATCTACTTGCAATTTCTTGCTTTTGAACTGCTAGGTTGGCAGGAACTGGGGCCAGAGATGGGAGCTCACTCTGTTACGCAGCACTCAGGTGTTGAACTGCCGAGCTTCAGATCTTCCGGTCTGCAGCTCAGTGTCTTAACCTCTGTTCTTTTTTGTGGGAAGAATTCCTCATGAAGTCAATTCCTACAGCACATTTGTTGGAAAAGAAATAGACTGTGTGCCTTCTACCTAGGCTGCTTTCTTCAAGCGATCTGGAGGAGTACCAAGCTACCATGTCATCCTAAATAATCATTTCCCATTCATCCTCACAACAAGGGTATGAGGGAGGTTAGGCTGAGAGATGGCATGGTGCAACAATTTGAACCTGTGATCTTGGGCACCCAATATTACACTTATTGATTGGTATTTCCTCACTCTTTGGTGTTTCCTCAGCCTATAAATAATGGCGGAAGGCTTTGTCAGCCTTCTAAGAGGAAAGGTTAGTTTTTGCACAAAATGCTGAGTGGCTTCAGATATCTGTCTATCCCCTTTTATCCTGCCCTTCTGCCAAGGATCTCAGGCTTCCTTCCTCATTTGTCTTCACAACCACTCTGCAGAGCCAGTTTGGCTGAGAGAAAATGATTGGCCCCGGGTCACCCAGTGAGCTTCATAGCTGAGTGGGGATTTGAACTCAAGTCTTCCAGGTTGTATTCTAACACTCTAACCACTACACAACATTGGTGCAGTGTAGAGAGAACAGACATTGCACATTCTTCATGGTGAGATTCCTTAGGTCCCCATTGGTTGCAGTGATGCTTTACTAGCATTAATATCCTGCATGGTATAGTGGTTAGAGTATCAGGCTAGTATGTGGGAGATCCAGGTTCAGATCCCCACTCTGCTGTGGAAACATGCTGGGTGACCTTGGGCCAGCCACTCTCAGCCTTACCTACCTCACAGGGTTGTTGTTGTTGTGAGAATAAAATGGAGGAGGGGAGAATGAAGTTGCAAGCTGCTACTGGTTCCCATGGGGTGGGGGGAAGCAGTGTACAGGATTTAAAATAAATGTCGTGTACATCTCAGTATGGACGGAGATGCTGAATGCATTTTGGACATTACAGAGAAGTGAAAGGAACAAAAATTTCATAGAGACTCTATTTCTTATCCACCAGCTACTGTACTAGTTGGACATCATAGAAGACAGTCCCAAAATGCACAGGAAGATTTGGCCCTCGGTCAGTGCAGGGCATTGCCAGTAGCACAACTAGTGACATTGCTCCCTGTGGTACTTTGTGATTATTAATGCCCGTATTGGTGAACTGCTTAGAAATGATCAATTTTTCTCCAGGGAAACCCACTGTAGATATTTTCATAGAGCCATCTGCCTGAAGAAATCAATCTCTGGAGGTTCCAGTTCTTGAATGCCAGCTAGCTCTGAGTGACCCTGGGCCAGTTACTATTTATCTCTTAAGTGTACCTTCTTTGCAAGGTTGTTGTGAGGGTAAAGTATGGCATGTACACTGCCCTAGAATCCCTGCAGGGATACTATAAAAATGTAACAAGGTTTTGTTGTGCAACTTCCTCTGTCGGCTTGCCCTGAGGAGGAAAGAAGCTTTGAAACACTCCTCCCTCATTCGCAGTAATTGTTAGTATGACTACAACTCCCAGTGAAAGAGGTGGCCACATCTGAAGGTGAATTCAATTCTGATCCGGCAACAATGCAGGCCATTCTCAGCTTATGCCTCTTCTTAGCACTCATAGCTAGAGGTAAGTATGTTATCCTGTGGTGGCAGCAGCTTATGATTTGGCAGAACTGTGGCATAGCTTAAAAGAATCCTCTCTCTTGTTCCAGAACCTCACAGCCTTCAGTATGTACTGCATATTTCTCAGAATATGATGGCTCTACAATATGGTCAAAGATGCTTCTCATTTCTGACATGTTGCTCTGACATTTCTGTGATGGCCACACCTAGTCACAGAAATGTGTGAGATGTACCCAGCAGTGTTCCTCATTGGCAAAAAGGGTGGAATGTTCCACATCATTCCCCGAAGAAAGTCTCATAAAGGGTTACCATAATTCTGAACGGTTTCAGAACAAAATCGGCACCTTTAAAGATGTGATCAATGGTACATTGAATGCTACTCTGATGGCTGTGTGGAATGTAGCTAGAATGTAGTTACTCAAGGTATTTGTTCTGTATGTTTTATGATCAAGTTAGTCATGAAGGGCAGTGGACCCAAGGGTCTGCTACATATTTCTGCACTTTTAGAAAAGTTTTCTTTTAAGCTTAAAGTCCTATGGAGATTATGTGGTTCAAATCCAGGACAAGAGCTCTCATTCAACTCTATTTCTATTTAAAAATTGGGTCATTGTCAGGTTAATCCCCTCCCCAACTCAGCAGTGGCCCACTATGGTGAATTGACTGTGTAGTTATTTAGAAGATTTGTTGTCGAAGGCTTAGAAGATTCTTTGGAGACTGTATATTCCATCTTTTCTTCTCTGGAGCACGGATAAACTGTCAGAAACACAAACATCAGCATGGCTAACCACCCCCTCTCTGTTAGGCATGAGAAAGTTTTCATAAGCTGCTTTGAGCGTTATGGGGGAAATGAGGCTAACAAATGCCCTCGAACTGCCGAATTACAGACCTTCCGGTCTGCAGTTCAGTGTCTTAACCTCTGTTCTTTTTTGTGGGAAGAATTCCTCATGAAATCAATTCCTACAGCACATTCGTTGGAAAAGAAATAGAAAATCTGAGTTGTCAGCAAGGGTCTCTTTGGAGGGCTTTTCATTCCGTGGCTTTTTCTGGAGACATGCCCCTGTAGAAATCTGGGTAAAAACTGTGGGGAATAGATTCAGGGATGTGCTGTCAAAATGCAGGTCATTCTGGTCTTTTGTTGTCATTCCTGCGTCAGATTCCAAGATGATACACATCAGTTTGGTTTTACTATTCTCATTACTGGGATTGCTGTGCTCTGAGAGAGAGTGTGTGGTTTGCCCAAGAGTAGCCATTGAGATTTCCTTACTTCAGTATAGCTGTCCTTATCTCTTTTTATCCTCACCAGGAAACAAGCAAGACTCCCTGCCATTTCACACATGGCATTTTACTTCCGGTAAAGAGCTGGATCTGAAGCAGTTTGCCATTTCAGACTGCACCGCTTTTTCCCGCTTTTCTCCCACCGTTTTTCGCTCACGCAGGCGATCTCCGGCTTTTTAAAAAAATGTTCGCTGTAGAGCACTATAGCGCTATAGTGCTATAACACAACACTTCCAATGGGATTGATATAATGCTGTTGCATCATGGCGTTATACGGTTATAGCGCTATAGCGCTATAAAGTGAACGTTCCAAAAAAAAAAAGCCAGAGATCGCCCGCGCGGGTGAAAAACGGCGGGAAAAAGCATATCAGAGCCGGGAGAGGAAACTGAAGACTACTTGGAAGTGGTTGACAGGTAAAACACTTCAGCCCCGTTTCCTAAATGGGACAGAAGCGTTTGTGTGTGAAATTAAAAATATGTTCCGGTAGGGAACCGGTTCTAAAACGGTTCTGTCTGAAATGACAGTCCTTGTTATCTGTGGTTCTCTGAAGTAATCTAATTTGGAAACATGTTAGAGGTCCCAACTCCAGCCTGGGAAATTCCTGGACAATCGGGGAAATGGAGCTTGAGGAGGGCGGAGTTTGGGGTTGGAAACACAGTAGGATGTGATTCTGTAGAGTTCATTTTCTAAAGCTGCCATTTTCTCCAGGCAAACTGATCTCTGTACTCTGGAGATCCATTGTAATTCTGGAGATCTCCAGGCCTCATCTGGAGCTTGATAATTCTATGTGCAATATTCAGCATCCTGAGTCTTCCTTCCTTCCTTCCTTCCTTCCTTCCTTCCTTCCTTCCTTCCTTCCTTCCGAATAGATGGGACATTTGATGACAAAATCTCTAAACCAGACAAGAAACGTGGGATTTTCAGCAATTGAGGGGGGGGGGCCTTCAGTGGTTTTGCATAGTTTACAGCTCTCTCTCTTTCGTTAGAAAGCTATATACATTATGCAAATTGGTGCAAATTAATCTAGTTTGCATAATATCACAGGTCTTGGAGGCTGTACATTCTCCTGCAGAAGTTGGCTCGTTATAGCAGACATGTCAAACATGTGGCCTGGGGGCTGGAAATGGCCAAGCAGCTGATCCGGGGCTCTTATCCAGCCTGCAAGCAACTGGGGGAAACCAGTCCAAATATGGACCAGAAGGGCCTATACTAGGGTATTATACTCCCTGCTGAAGTCCCTCCTTTCCCCACATGCAGGGGCCCCCAGGGTCCTCCCCCAGATCTCCAGGGATTGCCCAACCCAGAGATGGCAATCATAAGGGGTGAAGAGGGCTGGTTTGGCCCCAAGCTCTGCTGAGGAAGAGTATGTCAGTTGTAAAATGTCTCTGGTACCTGGCATTGCATTTTATGGCATGCATGGCACAGCCCAACAAAGTGACATTTATGTCAGATCCGGCCCTTGTAACAAATTAGTTTGACACCTCTGCTTTATAACATACAACGTTCTGGCAACAATTTTGTGAAGTAGGTTAAAAGGATAGCTTGCTCAAAGCAGGACAGAATATTTAGTAGCTGAAGCTGAACAGGTATCTGACCGAACTCAGCTGATTATGGATTTTACTTAGATTAGTGTGGTCATAACCTGATCATTCAAGTGATGGGACTGCCCTGCTGGGGCCACCATACAGGTCCTCACCAGAACATGTACAAGTGGGTGATTCATGAGGAGCTGAGGAGGGTAGGAAACCTCATTTCCCCTTCTTTGAAAGCCCCTGTATCTGCTCCCTTTTTCCTGCTTCCTTTTCTTCTTCCCACCTGCCAGCCAACCTACCTTCATGTGTCCCCATCTTCAGCTTTTACTCCTTCCCTCAATCTGCCAGTCATCTCCCCCCTGGAAAAGTCTGGTTGAGTTGAATGCAAGGATTCTGGCATAGGAATAAATTGTGTAGGCAGCGAGTCTCCCCACTTTCCTGTAGATGTCACTGGGCTTGTTCCTAGTGAGTCCTCCTCTATCAGGTGATATTACAGGGAGGAGGATGAGAACATTTTCAAGGATGTTTTGGCTTCCAGTTTACATAAACCAAGGCACAAAAGACTCAGCAGCTTTGTTGTGGTTGCCTAGAAACCTCCAAAAGAGACATTCAGAGCTTAGTGAGCATTCTTTTTATAAAGCTACAGGCATTGCTTCTATCATTTTGGGGAGTTTTAGCCCCCCAATTTTAATTAATTTTATGTAGACTTCAGATTTTTTTTTGCAGACCTGGGACTTTTTCAGTTTTGTAGAGAAATTCCCCTGTCTGTCTGTAGCTCCATTTTGTGGACCTATTAATCATAATCTCTGTGGTACAATTTGAAATTAATGTATGACAAACAGGAGAGCTGCAAGCCCCCTTTCTCCTACTTGCAATCCAGCCTAGCCTAGCCAGGAGGTTTTAGCATATGACTGGCAGAAGCAACCAGGTGTGAAGAAGAGACTCTGAACACAGTCTGAGCTCTTAAATATGCCTGTTTTTAAAAAGAAAAAATGGCTTGGGACTCATTTGTAGAACCCCACTGTCATGTACCTTTGACTCAAGAAATAATAACCGAAGATGTCTCTCTAACCGAAGGGAGGTAAGAATCAGTCCTCTGTATTTTGACTTTTTAACATTAAATCCAAATGCTAAGAATTTATTTCACTCACTCTGCTTTCCCTTCCAGCTTTTATATATACAAATATATGTTCACTAGAGTTGCCAGGCCCCCACCAGGCTGCCACTTGGAGAAGATAAAAGTAACAAAATGGCCTTTGGGCTGATGGTGTGATGTCAGTTCTGGGAAAACCCAGAAGTGCTGTCAGTCCTCTGTAGGAACTGTGAGGAATCCTGTGGTTTTGCAGCAGAGTTCCTTGTGATTCCAAGAGAGACTAGACACCACTTCCGGTTTCCTCCAGAAATGACATCATGCCATCAGCCCAATGACCCCCCCCCCCCATGTCCCTGCCGTTGGTTGCCAGGCCATTCCCAGCAACTCTAATTTGCACACTCATAAGAACTCATCTGTTCAGTATAGGGACAGGTTTGGTTCTATGATTCAGTAAAATAGATTTGAGGCCTAAGGAGAAGCTTCAGCCCTTTGGATAGGCTTGCCAAGTCCCCCCGGTGGGCGGGGAAACCCCCACCCCAGAGGCCCGTTTCCCGCCGCCGGCAGATCGGGCCCTGGGGGGAACTCCACCCCCACGTGCACGTCATCCGGAAGTGACGCGGGTATGCTGGGCATGCTGGGGGCGGGGCCACGGTCATCCAAGGGAAAACTCTATGGTTTTCCCTTGGATGGTCCTGGCCCCGCCCCCTGCGTGCCCGGCGTACCCGCGTCACTTCCGGGTGACGTGGATGCGGCGGGCGTGGGCAAAGCACATGCGCGCTCCAGACGATGGCCGGGAGTCCCCCGTTCCGGTAACTTTCTGACTTGGTAACCCTACCTTTGGAGCTATTTTATGTGCAGCCATTCTTTCCCAGTAGGGTAGTGAATACTGTGGAAATATTTTTAAAAATGGTAAAATGAAAGAGGGCAATATGTATCGATTATTTTATTCCCCAGGGACTGCTCTACAGTGTGAAATTTGCACAGGCCTGGGCCACAACTGCACTGGTAAAACAGAGACCTGTCCCCCTGATCATGCCTTTTGTGGCACCACATTGTTTGAAAGTAAACACGGTAAGCAACTGTGATGGAATGACTTTGTTGCCCAGATTTGGATATTTTAGAAGTTTTAGCTTCGTAATACGTATTTTTGGAAACACTGTTACCTGAAATTGTAATATTGTTGTCTTTTGTTTAGGAAAGAACTAATATGGGTTAAATGCATAGCCCTATAACCATTTTAGGAAAACCTTTTTAGACTCTTGGGGAAAGAAAAAGCAAGAGAAACAGTTCAAACATTCACAGTTAAAGAATGACAGCTAGACAAAAGTCAGTTGAGAACATGACAGTTAAATGTAAGCTTACACAGCAGGAGAGTTCCTGTCCCTGACCTCCGGCTTCCTGCCGCTGCCCAATGCAACAGTGGGGGAAAATGGGGGGGAATAACCAGGGGTCATTTCGTAGAAAAAGAGCTGCAGGAGCTCATTAGCATAACTTATTAGCATATGCCACACCCCCGGACATCACCGGAAGTGTGCACCAGCCCCTCTGACAGGCAAAAGCACCTGGGATCCATTCTTTCTCCCCTCTCCCTTCCCTTCGCCTCCAAGTTGGGCGAAGGAAAAGGGGAGGGGGAGGATCTCAGGCGCTTCTGCCTGACAGAGGGGCTGGCGTGCCCACAGCCAGCCTGGGTGAATTATAGAATCATAGACTCATACAGTGCTCCCTTTCTCCTATTTGCGTTGCTGCTCGGACTTCACACGTGAAAGGTGGAATTTGCCCCTACGAGTCCAAGGCCACCACCCCGGGGCTCAGGGAGGCAAGGGAACGTTTCGCCCTGTTCCCCACCCCTGCGCGGGCATCGCAGCTGCCTGTGAGAACAGCAACGGTAGCCATAACTTTTTAAAGAGCCCCTCCCGAGAGCTGGGGGAGCCAGAATGACCTCTGGCGTGTGATGTCCGAGGGGCTCAGGGAGGCAATGCCACTCGGACATCACATGCGAGAGGTGGAATTTACCCCTACGAGTCCAAGGCTACCACCCTGGAGCTCAGGGAGGCAAGGGAACATTTTGCCCCTCCCCCCCGCACGGGCATTGCATCTGCCGCCGAGAACAGCGACGGCAGCCATAACGTTTTGAAGAGCCCCTCCCGAGAGCTGGGGGAGCCAGAATGACCTCTTGCGTGTGATGTCCGAGGGTCTCAGGGAGGCAACGCCGCTCGGACATCACACGCAAGAGGTGGAATTTGCCCCTAAGAGTCCAAGGCCACCATCCCGGGCTCAGGGAGGCAAGGGAATGTTTCGCTCCTCCCCTCCCCTCCAACACGCGGGCGTCGCAGCTGCCACAGAGAACGGCGGCAGCAGCCATAACATTTTAAGAAGCCCCAAAGGAGAGCTGGGGGAGCCAGAATGACCTCTCATGAGAGAGGTGGAATTTGCCCCTATGAGTTCAGGGCCACCACCCCCGGGCTCAGGGAGGCGGGGGAACATTTCGCCCCCCCACCGTGTCCCAACTGATGTCTGGTGGGAGCAGGGGGCGGGGCTTATGTGCCCGTCCCCTGGGCTCCTGACTGGCGGAGCGGTGCTCTGGTGCGCTCCTGCAGGAACCGAGGCCTGGGAATACCATTGCGCAATGCTGCTAAAACCATTGAGATTTGGGATAGAGCATCATGGTGACATCTCCAGTAGGGATACCAGCTTCCAGGTGGGGCCTGGGGATCCCCCGGAATTACAGCTCATCTCCAGGCTACAGAGATCAGTTCCCCTGGAGAAAATGGATGCTTTGAAGGGTGGATTCCATGGCATTGTACTCAGCTGAGCTCCATCCCATCCCCTGGCACTAACCCCAAATCTCCAGCGGTTTCCCAACCTGGATCTGGCAAACCTTGCTGGTGGCCAGGGAGGACCTGACAACCCTAATTTCCAGCGATGGGACTAGCCTCATCCCCAAAGCTCCTGGGAGATTGCCAGGGAATGCTAGTTAAAGATGGCTATGGCTGAATAGAGTCTAGAGTGAAGAAGTCTAGGAAATTAGACAGAAAAATAGGTTTTACAGTTAAAAGATAGTACTGAACAGCAACAGTTAACAGTCCATGATTTAGAATGTGGTTGCTTCCACAGAGAAGTTTTTCTCTACCTTTGCTTTAAAACTAGAGAACTTTTATCTAGTTAGTTACAATATTTCTGTGCTGCTTCTTCAGAGTCCTGCTTGGGGTGGCTTAAAATTAAAACAACGAAACAATATAAAAACAAGCCATTGGAGATAAACAGAACACAACCTATCCATATTCCTGAAGCAGATCATTTAAAAAACCTAGTCAGATAAACCCCCTAATTTAAAAACTTTGTTTTTTGACTGTACAAATGACATCCTCCTGTAATCGTCCTCCTTCAAGAGTTTCCCCATCCTCAATGTGCTCTTTCCCAAACCTGATTTATTATGATCTTTTTGGAAGGAACACTCTCCAAGTGTCTTATTGTGCCATCTAGATGGGAATATGTGTATTTTCAAAGATCCCACTCACAGCAGTGCCACATTCCTCCTGTCAGTCCTTCACAGCCACCATTTGCCCCACAGTGCCACTGAGGGTTTTTTTGAAAAACCAATTGGCAAGTGCTGTGGCACTATAACACAATGCTATAGTACTATAGCGGTTATCGAAAAGCCCTCTGGTGGCACAATGGGGAAAACATTCGCTGTAAGGAGGAAAGCACATAGAACCCCCCCATGTGGAAACTCCTTTGCCAACATGCATGCTTTTGCATCGCACCAGCAATGAGAGCCACGTGGCGAATCCTCACTGTGTTGAAGCACGCTTTGCTAGTATATTGAGATGTGGTACTATTAATCTAGATGGCTGAGAAACGTAGAAGTTTGAAAGTTAATATCTGAATCAGATTGCTCAGTTACTCTAAAACAGCTTTTAATAGTAATACAACCTTGAATATTTTATGTGCATTTCTTCATAATGAATTGTTTCCTGTAAGAGAGACCAGTTAAAAGTAGTTTGTTAACCTCTCACGCCTACTGAATTGTGCAGAAAGTTATTTGTCCTTAGAACGAAACAGCAAACTTGACCAAGGGTGATGTGGTGTACTCAGAGAGACAGTGTAAAGAATGCTTTGAGTGGTGGCAGGAGAAAACGAACCCTAGTTAGGTAATAGGGGAGATAGGTCTGGGTTGGAAAATACCTGAAGGCTTTGGAGTGGATCTGGGAGTGAGTGGGGTTTGGGGAGGGGCCTCAGCATGGTACAATGCCATAGAGTCCCCCCTTCAAAGCAGCCATTTTCTCCAGGGGAGCTTATCTCTGTCAGCTGGAGATCAGTTGTAAAAGCAGATCTCCAGTCCCCACCTGGAGGCTGGCAACCGTAAGGGGAGAAGCATCCTAACTGGATCCACTACCTAGGCAAAACAGTGGCACAGTGTTGCTTGCCCTTTTAATCACAGCAACACTGCCAAATGATCTTTCACAATCAGTGTCTCATTTTCCAAACCTCAGAATGGAACAAAATTGAGTTACTACTTGAGACTCGTGTTTCATTGTTGCAACTTGGAGAGGGTCTAATGACCAGTCCCTGCTGGGAACGGATTCATCCGACTGAGGGTCTTCAATGTAAAAGCAGCTTTTCTGTGCTGTTTGTGTAGAAAGGCATCTTAGTTGACCACCAATTGTCCTAGGCAGCTTACAGAGGTCAGGGACTTTTTCACATTCACTCTTTCGTTTTATTCACTTTCTGTGTATGTCTTTTATGACTTGTTTGGTCAACTATTTAATGGTCCAAACAGGCTGTGAACCAGAATAAGTGTATGAGTAGTATATAACATTGCAGTGATACAGAACAGGCAATGGAAGATAGCAACAACAGCTGCTAGGTTTCACATTTGAAAGACATTATTCACTTTTGAATCTCTGTGTAGCATCCTCTGCTAGAAGTTCCTGTCTTTTTTCCCCCCTGCAGATGAAATATTAGTTCATGGCATTATTAAGAACTGCATTCCATCCAGTGTGTGTGCAGCTGGTTCTACTGATATAAACTTGGGAGAAAAAGGAAGATCGAGAACTCATGTTTTCTGCTGTCAGGGTGATACTTGCAATGCAGCCACTGCTGCCAAATGTAGGTATTCAGTCATTTCCTCCTTCCCAGCCCTGCTCCTGCTCTCCATTGACAGTCCTTGCTCCTGCAGGCAGCTGGAGAAAAAGGGGAGGGGGGCAATGCTGCTGTTTCTTTTATGTCACTGCCAGCCAAAGACCTCGAGATGAGATTGCTGCCCCTCACGATGTACTAGGAATTAACCCAATCTCTATGGTATTTACCATAGGGTTTTTTTTGGGGGGGGGGTTTCCCAGAACTTTGTGATTTCAAAGCATTGGCAATGCTTTCCCCTCCCAGGCCCTGCCTCCAAACAATCCCCAGGGAGTGTAGGTGCAGGCCTGACATCCCTACAGCTTGGGTTCCTTCTGTTGTCAGGCATCTCTGGGTCCCTCTGATACTTGCCACAGGGATGCTACTGAGAATGGCATCCTCTTTGTGAGCAATTCCTCCCTTCTTGGCTGTTACATATAGTTGGAGAAAGCACTATATGGCACAGGGTCAGCATGTTCTGATGTTGCCATACCTGACCAATGGGGAACAACCAGTGGCATGGAGCAGAATAGGGAAACTCAAATGTCAGTAAGAATGACAAGAAATTACTGGTGGGGGGAAGGAGAGAATTTCTTACAAGGATGAGTGTTTTCAGTATCATTTCAGTGATTTTACCATCTGACCTCTAGGCAAGCTTCCTTCTAAGTTTGCAGGTGTGGAAACAGCAAAACTGGGTGATTCTGCAAGGCTGAACCAAAGCCTTGCAATGATCTCAGAGTTGATGCAGCTAAGCTTGACCCTTCTCTCTATCTATCACCTCCTAATCCATCTGTAGAACTCAATGAGGGACAGAAGAGCCCCCATAACACATCTTTGGAGTCTATTTGTCCCAAGATCCATTTGCCTGGTTGCCTCTATGGAATTCCCAGTCCATATTTGGTTGTTTGGGTGCATTCCCTGGAAGCAGTCTGTGCCAACCCTACTCCTTGAAAGGCCATGCCAGCCTCCCCAGAACTGATTTACCCCTGGGGTCGATGGAGCCTCTGGGTGGGTAGATTCTGAGAAGGCCCTGCACCATGTCCCAAGAACTCTCAGGACACTGTTTCGATATCCGCAATATTCCCTGGCCCACCAACTCAAGACCTGTGGAGAAGAAGTAACCATTCTTCCTCTCTACTGTGTTCTGTCTATTGCAACAGAGGGGTGACATGATTGAGATGTATAAGATTATGCATGGGAAAGAGCAGGTAGAGAAAGTTCTCACAATACAAGAACTCGTGGGCACTCCACGAAATTGCCGAGCGGTCGGGTTAGAACGGATAAAAGGAAGTACTTCTTCACCCAAAGAGTGATTAACACTTGGAATTCACTGCCACAGGAAGTGGTGGCGGCTACAAGCATGGACGGCTTCAAAAGGGAATTAGATAAGCATATGGAGCAGAGGTCCATCAGTGGCTATTAGCCACAAGGTATAGATAGGGACTCTGGGGCAAGTGATGCTCTGTCATCTTGGTGCTTGGGGGGGTCAACAGTGGGAGGGCTTCTAATGTCCTGGCCCCACTGGTGGACCTTCTGATGGCACTGGTATTTCTGGCCACTGTGTGATACAGAGTGTTGGACTGGATGGGCCTTTGGCCTGATCCAACATTGGCATCTCTTATGTTCTTATGTTCTTAACTTCCTTGCAGGTTCCCACTTCATTATATAACATCATGAATGGAACTTTACAAAGAGACATAAAGGAAAAAATGCTACTGCCTTGAGGAGCTAATCATCTACATTCCATTTACAAGTGTCCCCTTTTACAGGGAGCTTCCGGTTTAAAACCTGTGGTGGCTATAACATTTAATCTAGTTCTTAGAGAGTTCTTCCAAGAGGAATACTTTCTGCAGGTTTTGAGCATGCATTTACATCTCAGCATTTAACCCAAAGTCATGCTAATGAAGTACTTGATCCAGACTAACCCCTTTGACTTTCTCTTTTTTGTTTATTCAGTTATGCCATCGGAAGCCAAACCCAATGGTCTGCAGTGCCCCGCTTGCTATGCTTTGCTTGATGAGTCATGCAGTGATGCAGACACAGTCAACTGTGTTGGGTCTGAGTTTCAGTGCATCAATTTGGTTGGATATGTCCATTATGGTAAATCTGATTTGTCTATTCATTTGGCTTGGGTTCTGTCATTCAGCAGCTAACTCCAACTCTGCGTGCCTCTTCTGCCAGAAAAGATCCAAGGACTTTCTTCTGCTAAGTGAAGAGCCTTCCTTTGAGAGAAGGAAGGGTTCCTCCATTTGGGAAGACTCTTTCTATCAAAAGAAGACTCCCTACATAGGGAAGTAAACCTTTGGATCCATCTTACTAAGTCCCTAGTAAACAGTTTATTGGAAAATATGGGTTTGATGTTCTAGAATGTTGTTGCATGCTCCAACTGTTTGACAGGATAGATATTAGTGCCTCTTGACCTGATCTGGAGTTCCACAAGCATTCAGCTCGTGCACAGAGGTTTCCCCCTTCATTTTATTCAATTTACAAGTGCCAGGAAACAAAAGATGCCAATCAAGTTTCTCCACTGAAATTAATTAGATCAGATGACCACTGCATTTATGCATCTGAGTGCCTTTGACCTAATGCAAGTGAAGTACTGGCAGTGCCATCCTAAGCAGGGTTGCACCTAGGCTTACCAAGTGCCGGCGGGGGAACTGCGTATCTTGGCAGGATCCCTGCCGCGGGGACGGCAACACGCATTGCACCTGCCGTCGCCAGGATGTGACGCTATGCGTCGCTTTGGCAACAGGACTCCAAACGGGACAGTCCCGTTGCCAGAGCGACGCATAGCGTCACATCCTGGTGATGGTGGGTGCAACGCGTGTCGCCGTCCCCGCGGCAGGGATCCTGCCAAGACACGCAGTTCCCCCGCCGGCACTTGGTAAGCCTAGTTGCACCATTCTAAGTCAAATGAAGTCAAAGGTTCTAAGTCTAACGAAGTCAAAGGTTAGATGGTTCTAACTCTGCTTTGGACTGCAATGCTAGACGTTAATTTTTCTAGTGCAATACTTATACAATAGATCATTTCCTCTCTTTTTAATATTAGTTTTATCTGTGTGTGCACACATGTGTGTAACTTTATAAATAGTGATCAACAATGTCAATTTATGTGGGGAATATAATTTTTCGTATTTCCCACGGAATCAGAAATTTGCAGGGGTAAGACAATGGTAAATTCTTCTCACCATATTGGCAAGTAAAATAGATAACCAGTTCCCTATACAAAATGAGACAAAAGTCTAGTGGCATCTTTCAAGACTGACAGCATTTATTTCAGTTGGGTAGCCATGTTTGTCTGAAGCAGCAGAACAAAGTTTGAGTCCAGTGGTACCTTTAAGACCAACAAAGTTTTATTCAAAGTGTAAGTTCTCGTGTGCAAAGCACACTGCTTCAGACAAATGGAACAAAATCTCCTCTAGGGTTATTTACAGGAAAAGAGAGGGGCAGCCATTAGGAGGGGCCACTGAGAGCCAAGATGCATATGCGGAGCTGAAATTGGATCAGGTGGCCAGTAATACCAATGGATAGCAGCAAATGAGCACGTAAATGCAAGTTAACAAAAAGATGTGAGAATAAAGCTAGAAACTCAAGCTTCATTCTCACATCTTTTTATTATCAGCCAACTTATTTATTTATTTAATTTGATTTATACCCCACCCTCCCCGCCTGCATATGCATCTTGGCTCTGAGTAGCCCCTCTTAATGGGTGCCCCCCCCTGTAAATAACCCTTGAGGAGATTTTGTTCCGTTTGTCCGAAGAAGTGTGCTTTGCACACGAAGCTTATACTTTGAATTAAACTTTGTTGGACTTAAAGGTGCCACTGGACTCAAACTTTGTTCAGCATTTAGTTCAGTATGAGCTTTAATGAGACACAGCTCACTTCTTCAAGTATGTGGAGATCAACATATCAGTTCTTTATGAGAACTGATAAGTACTGCAGGAAGTTAGCAATTAGTTGCCCTGTGAACAAGTTTTATCTTGACCTTAGATTCCAAATGAGTCAAGGTTATACAGCACATGTCTGTTGTATGAATTTTGAATGGGGAAGAACATACAGGAGAACAGTTAGCCAGATGATTAACCATTGCCCTCTTGTGGCTAACAACCATTTTGTTTCCTATTCTTCTGACACCAGATGAATCATCTCAGAGGATTGCCATGAAGGGTTGTGCCACCCAGCCAGTTTGCAGTGCTAGTGTCGGAGGTGCAGCAACATTTGCAGGAGTCAGTTCGGCGATAACAAAGCTTGAGTGCTCACCAGCCTCCAGCACAGCCAGCATATCTCCTGGACCATCTGGACTCCTTCTTTCAGCAATTGTTGGGTTTCTGCTGGTGAAGCTCTGATCCTTGTTGACTGGCTGTCTTTGCTGATGCATCGCATGGAGGGCTAAGCCAAGGCATGTGCCAACGCTTGGCTCTTGCTTAGTATAAACAGACGAATAGGGTGACCTGCGATTTAGCCATTTTGTATGTAAAGAACCAAAGCAGGAATATAATGGTTTTTTAAAAAGTCTTAAGCTCAATTTAATGAAAGATTTTAATTACCCATTTTAGTTTTATTTAGGACTAGGAATAAGGCCCGCTGTGGAAATAAATACAACTTGCTCTAGAAAGAGGCTCTGGGAGAGTGCCAAGGCCTTGAGCACTCAGCGTCAATGTGCTGTGGTGACCTCAGCTGGGTATAATGACAAAGAGTCCACCATTTTCTCCAGTGGAACTGATCTCTGCTACCTGAAGAGCAGTTGTAATTTTCAGTGATCTCCAGCCCTCACCTGGAGATTGGCAACAATTGCTACCCAGGAAGAAATGGCTGGTTTGGAGGGTGGCATTGTATCTGTCTGAGGTCCCACCCCTCCTCAAACCTCACACTCTCCAGGCTCCACCCCTCAAATCTCCATGAATTTCCCAACCTGGAGTTGGCAACCCTATTTCCTTCCCAGCCAAGCATCAACCTGCCATTATCTGCTCCTCTGATTTCAGCTTTGCATCTCCTCCCCCCTCCATCCTGGAGATCAGTTGTAATTCTGAGTGATTTCCACTCCTGTCCTGAGATTGACAACAGTGGTTCCCCAGAAGGGAATGGATGGTTGGGAGGGTAGAGTCTATGGCACTGTACCTGTCTGAGGTCCCACCCCTCCTCAAACCTCACCCTCTCCAGGTTCCATCCCTCAAATCTCCAGGAATTTCCCACCTGGAATTGGCAACCCTATCTCTATCCCAGCCAATCATCAACATACCTTTATTTCCCCCTCTCTTTTCAGCTTTCCATTTTCCCCACACACACGCCTGCAGCCTCTTCTGTGTTCTGAAGCCCTGACTGCCACAGAGTCCACCATTTTCTCCAGGGCAACTGATCTCTGCCATCTGGAGAGCAGTTGTAATTCTGAGTGATCTCCAGCCCTCACCTGGAGATTGGCAAGAATGGATTCCCAGGAGAAAAAGTAGTATTTCTCTGCAATGGGGACCAAAGCAGCTTACATCATTCTCCTCTCCCCCTTTTGACTTGCACAACAAACCTGTGAGGTAGGTTAGGCTGAAAGTCTGTGACCTACTCAACTTCTACAGCAAGAACCTGGATCTAGCAGACCCTGCTCTGCCTAGGGCAGCCGACCTCCAAGTGGAGACTGAAGATCAACAGGTATCACAACTGAACTCCAGACAACAGATCTCCCCCCCCCGGGAGAAAATAACTGCTTTGGAAGGTGGGCTGTATGGCATTCTGTTCAGCTGAGGCCTCTCCCCTCCCCAAACCCCAGCTTCCATAGACTCTACCAGAAAATCTTCAGGAATCTCCCTACCTGGAGCTGGCAACCCTAGTCAGGACTGGCCCCAATGAGTTCCTCACAAAAGTCTGCAAAGGGTTTCCTTTGTCTGAACCAAGCTTGGTTGTCTACTATGGCGAAATGGACTCCAGTTTACAACTCAGCTGTTTGCCTCCCACTCTCGTCCCATGGGCATATCTCACTCCTTAAGTTCACTGCCACTGCCTTTTTAGAGGGACAGTAAGACCCCTCTGGCCGAATCTCCCTATTTGGAGATGGAATCCCCAATCTTTGGGGGATCCCTGGAAAGTTGGCAACCCAAGGGTCTGGCCTTTCCTTGCTTCCCTGGGCTACCCCCTCCCTTTAGTATTGTGCAGAGCAGGGGAGACTATGTGGTCATTCCCTACACACAGTGCTCGCTACTTCTGGGGGTTATGGGCTCACCTGTACTTCAGCCTCTCTCTCTTGCCCAGGAGAGCAGGGAAACTTCCATTCATTCCCCAGTCCAGCCAACTGTGGAATAGCTGAACTTCTGCTGCCTTCCAGGGACGAAGACTGCCTTGGGACAGTCCCTGTTTTCTCACACTTTTTGGCCTTGGGGCAGCTGGGAACAGCAGATGAGGAAGCTCCATTCAACCCAGTGAGTGATACCCCTGCAGGCCCCTCTCTGGAACTACAGCTCAATTAAACCTTATGGGGGAACATTTTAAACAAAGAACCAGAGCCATCTTACAAACACAGGTAACTGCCATTTCGTTACACCTACCAACAACCACTGAGGGAAAACTTAGTCCCACACAGGAGGCAAGCTGGAAAAGCATCTTTGTTAAGAGAGAAAGCCATTTGCCAGTAATTCTGACAGGGCACAGTGGCTGAACGGGGAGTGGGTGGGGAAAAGGAGCAGACCCAGCACCTGGCCAATGGCATGCAAGTACTCTTGAGTGGCGGCTGACGGGCCAATGGCTGAGGGAGTACATGGAATCTTGCCACCCCAAAACAAGATTATTATATAGGACAGATTATGGTTCACTACAAAGATGCTGCAGTGTCCGCAGTAATGGAAATCAAGTGCTGTCATATTACTATCATGCTGATGTCCACAAAGACTTTAGTAAATAATCTACCTATCATTTGTCTAATGGGTTCATATCTGGCATGCTATAATTATTTTATCCTTTTATACCTGTAGAGCTATTTACTTAAAAAGAGAAGTGACAGGGCTGAAGGGTGCTAAAAGCTACATCTTCTGGCCTGGAGGTTCCATCCCAAGAGGTTCAGGGGCTGGCTGAGGTTGCTCAGAGCTGAGGATAACCATTTTGCTGCAGAGCTTATCTGTTACCTTAACTGGATCCAGAGAAGGGGAAATCAGCTTGTTACAGGGTCTCCAGCCAGATAAACAAGGGACCTTTTGCCCATGTAAATGAAGGTTTTATTCCTGCATAATATTCCCAAGAGAAAGACTAAGAGAAACTAACCAATTCAAACTAAACGAAATATTTATGTAGTAGCACTTAGACACACAACTAGAGGTTGATCGATACTGCAAACCCTTTAAAATCATGAGTACAACTACAAGGGTAAAACCCAGAAGAAAACCACCCTTTCCCTCCTAATAAACACACACAAACCAGAGAAGGGGTAAAAGATGAGGGGAAGAGGTTCTGAAGAGTGATACTACCTGACCCAAGGTGTGTGATAAGCTGAGAATCACAGTAAGTCTGTGCAGCAGAAGTCTGACAAGGAGGGAGAGCAGCCTGCAAAGCAGTTTAAAGAGGTATCCAAGTTGTTGAAGCAGCCTGGCACACATTTCAGGGACCTGGGCAGCTGGGCTAGTTTGTTTATACGTGAAAATTCCATAGTTCAGCAAGGGACCTGACTTTCCCAGGATCAGGATTGGTCCAATAAATAAATAAATAAAGTTTGAAGGTAACTGCTGCCCAAATCTGGCAGGAAGGTAAAGTAACATGTGACATTCCAAGATGGGGACGTTTTAGCCTATCAGTGAAACAACCAGGTGTGTAATGATAGCAAAACTCACAGCGCAGGCAGAACCGTGCATTGTCTTTTCTTTTTTAAAAATATGTTTATTGATTTTCAAAAAGGAAAGGAAAGATAAAAAGGAGAGAGTGATACATTTTCACAGTACCTGTTTAGGTATCTCATACATAACATGATATTAGAGTCATCTACAGTTATACCTTCTCATAAGACATCTATTTAGCAACATTATACAAAAAAACAAAACAAAATGAAGAGTTATATGTTTTCTATTATTCTTATATTCTGCTATATTCCCAATAAACATATTCTAATGATAGAGTTAGCTAACTTTTTACCTAGAATCTTTATCTAAAAGGGGAAATAATACATAGTTAAACAAAGAAGCCAAAATATTCCCTTGTTTACACTATTTCCTATATATCTAGTGTTAAGCATTTCTGTTCTGTATGATAGCAACCATACTTTAAACAATAAGATGGAAAAAAGAGAAAGGAACAGAAGGTGAAAAGAAAGAAAAAACAAGATTATAATTTTTCGAGGAAGTATATTGAAATGTTCACTTCTTATACCTTTATTCTCACTACATTTTAGTCTTGCCCTTTATGTTATTGTTAGGATCTTCGTCTGTATACATCTCTAATAATACAAATCCTTAAAAGTTTCCACTTGACAAACATTTTCAAAATTTTCTATTAAAACCCTATTTATATAATCAGTTATTCATAAACCTAAGACACTTGGGCCCTTTAAATACATTTCCCATAAAACAAATCTTAAGGGGTCTCCATTTAACTATTTCTAAGTTGGCTCAAGTGGTTAAGATGCTGAACTGCAGGCTGTGGAAGGTCAGTAGTTCAGCAGTTCGAGACCCAAGTGTGCCACATGACAGAGTGAGCTCCCGTCTCTAGTTCCAGCTCCTGCCAACCTAGCAGTTCGAAAGCACCGCAACCCTAGAGTTGAAGGGAGGGAGAGGATCTCAGGTGATTCTGCTTGACAGAGGTGCTGGCGTGCCCACAGCCAGACTGGGTGATTTATAGAATCATAGACTCATAGAGTGGGAGGGATCTCCAGGGTCATCTAGTCCAACCCCCTGCACAATCCAGGAAATTCACCAATACCCCCCACACACCCCAGTGACCCCTGTTCCACGCCCAGAATATGATAAAAAAAAAACCTCCAGGATCACTGGGGGCCAAACTGGCCTGGAGAAAAATTGCTTCCTGGCCCCAAAGTGGCGATCAGCATTTCCCTGGGCCTGTAAGAAAGGGCCACAAGAACTAAGCACTGATGCAACTCTTCCTGCTCTACCTCTCGTGATTTGCCTAAGTTCACACAATCAGCATTATGATCCTTTTAAAGTTGAAAGCATGATATAAATGCAAAGGACGATTTGTAAGATTATCTGTAAGACACAAGACCAGGACGCATCTCACTTCTGGCAATCACTTGGAGAGATCCTATCACTCAGCTTCCATTGCCCCACACACAC